GTGGTGTTTGGTTTCGCAGAGGAGGGTCCGGGAGGATGGAGCTGCAGACGTCGGGCCGGCCCATCGAGGTGCTCATGGAGAAGGTGCTGTCGATGAACATCGTCTCCTCGGACTACTTCAAGGAGCTCTACAAGATCAAGACTTACCACGAGGTCATCGACGAGATCTACAACCAGGTGGACCACGTCGAGCCCTGGATGACGGGCAACTGCCGCGGCCCCTCCACCGCCTTCTGCCTCCTCTACAAGCTCTTCACCATGAAGCTCACCGTCAACCAGATGCACGGCCTGCTCAAGCACCCGGACTCCCCCTACATCAGAGCTGTAAGTAAGGAATTATCCATCTTTTCTTGCCCGCTTTCCTAACGTTTATTTATCTTTCTGCTCTTTATGATTGTATGTCTGATTTTATTTAGCTCTCATGGAATATAGTTACTTTTTGCAACAGATTGGGTTCCTGTACCTGCGCTATGCTGCGGACCCAAAGACCTTATGGACCTGGTATGAGCCCTACATTCAAGATGATGAGGTACTGTGTCGTCTGTGTTCGCTCTCCGCCTCTTTTGCGTTTGTTTCACCATCAATTAAGCAGCAATAGGCCAAGCTCTAGTTCCGATGACATATTTTTGTTTATGTTGAAGTAAGTTTCAGACCTCAGTGTTGCTTTCAACAAAGTGTTGTGTTAACATGTGTAACATAAACAACGATCTTCTGTTTTTATGATGTGGCTGCTGTTTTTAAGAATAACGCTTGTGCAAACCTGAAGTGACTAGTAAACATATATTGCAAATGAAAGTTGGCACAACATATGGTTCTTCTGTTATCATCCATCGTGGACCAAGTAAAGGAGTTTATCTATGAATGAAATAAAGAAAAGCCCAAACAGTGAGCTGATGGAAGTGTGTGATCAGAAAGGTTTTTGCCAGATGGATAGTTCTCTGAATCAACCATGCCTGTACTAGAGAATAGAGATTACTTGCACTTATTAGTTGTTTCTTTATGACATAACGATCTGCACATGTATGAGCCTAATGCTTATCTGTGTGGATCAATGCGTGCAAATAGTTTGCCATGCCTGTTCTTCACATTTATGATTTTTTCTGATAAAATGGTTAATAATCCTTTTGCAGTTCTTTTGTAATGAACCATAGCTCACCTCTACATACTATGTGTTCTCTTTCAGGAGTTTTCCCCTGGATCCAATGGTAAAATGACAACTATGGGCGTTTATGTGCGTGATGTTATCCTTGGTCAGGTATATCTCTTAAACTATGCCCCCATTTTTTCCATTTGACTTAACTTTACTATAGAGCTGCTATTACAGTTTTCTATAGTTACCCAAGCACATCTGAGGACATACATGATTAACATACTATTTTCTGAGCCTAAGTGCAAATATCTGTTTGTTGAATCTCACCTGTTGATTTGGCATACTGAGCGGAAATTTCAATTGTGGAGTTGCTTTAAGAGGAGACATCTCTTCCACCAGTAACCACTTTGTAAAGGTTTGTCATGATATGTTACTCGAATGTTCTTTTCACTTTTGGCACTAGTGTTCCATATTTTCAACTGGTTGAAGTATTCATTGCACATAAAAATGATGTGTGCTTTTGAGATGCTTTACTCTGTTTCAGGCTATATGTCCTGTATTGTTTCTTTCTTGGCTTGAGATGCTATTGTTTCCCTTTCTGTCCATGCTTTATGCTTTGGAAAAGATCTATGGGCATATTTACCAAGAGAATCAAGTCCATTCCCATATAGAAAAAGGAGGTCCAGTGTGTAAGAATCTTATAACTGGAAGCTTTTGAACTTTGTTTTAGGATGCCTAAGTTCATGTAAAAAACTCTTGACTGGTTGGCTCCCACATTCATTCAGTCAGGATTCTGTGATATTTTGGTATAATGGATAGCATGTCCAATAGTTTATAGATCTTATTGCGTATGCAAGCTAGAAGGAAATTATTGCCATATTGAGTTGCTAGTGTTTTGGTTGAGTTAAGACAGTTGGTAAACTCCTTGGTTTGATCAGCTGTTACTGTTTGGTGGGTGAGTCCTTTGATTCTTACAGTCTAGCTGATACAGCAATGGATATCTGTCTCAGTTGGCACGAAGCACTAGCAGTCATTTGACTAGTTCTTATTTTGGCCACAAAAAAAACACTTAAGTTTTTTTTTTGTCACGGTTTGCCACAATAACTGAGAACACCTCAGCCCTAGCCTAGACGCTCGTATGCCAAATACAACAGAACAAATTAACCTCATAATCATACTCTGTTACCACTCTATGTTTCTTGACAAGTTATATGTTATTGTATCCGTCTAGTATTTCCTTTCCAGGCCATTATTCGAGTAGCTTGAAATGAAAAATAGC